TTATGCGTCATTCAAGATGGCGGCCCCAATATAGTAAATATTCGTATTTATTTTATTATCACGTGTGCGCCAGCTGACTGTGGTGGGGAGGAGTAATACTGTGCAATAAACTTCAACCTTAGGGAGTTATATTTAGGACATACTAATGTAAAGTGGTATTCGTTCTCAATTACACTACAGCCAAAAGGACACAACCTCTGGTTACGTGGAGTACAACTGGCCCTACCCATTTCAATTTGAAGTGCATGTGACGATATATATCTATACATTTATTTGAAAAAGAAGAATTGGATTATTTATTTGTTTTAATAATCATCTGTTGGTTGACATGTACTTGCGCTCTATCCGAAGTTTAGTGAACAGCGCTGATTCCATATAAGAGCTCGACTGTGGTGGCGCAATAGCGATATCACAATATCACAGCAGCCAATTTGGTTTTGTGTATTAATTTTCTAAGTTCCTGTATTCTTAGAGAGATCGTGGCATAAATATCAACGTCTGGCACATACTATCAACCAGCGCCCTACTAATTCAAGGCTAAACCAAATCGATTATCGCCTCTTTTGAACAATAACAACAAGCATGGTTGAGATGTCTCACATCTATGTTAGTTCTATTTTAGAAATTCACTAAAATATGCAAACTGAGTAGAAATTAAGGTAAGGAAAAAATAAAATTTCAGTTAATTTTTAGTTTGTAATGATTTTTGCCCTAATCTTCCGAAGAAAAGTGTAGACTATAAACGGGACTATTTTGTGAATTTGTGATGAAAAGAGGAAACTGGTGGTGAAAAGGTTAATGACACCAAAGCACTGACCCAGACGTGACGAAACTCGGCTCGATGTAGTACGCCCTCTGCGACCCAAAATATAAAATCTCGCGTGACGAAACGGGAGCAAGATCCAAATCAAAATGGCTGAAATGACACCTTTGCTGATCGGTGTGGGAGTCACAGCGGCGTCCCACCCTATGGGATACGTTAAAGTTCTCATACAGGTATGCATATTAAAACCAAGTTGAGTCTGCAACTCTCAAACCGAGAAAATAATCAGTCACCCGATGAAAACAAATAAAAACACCGCTGGAGTGACCGGTGTGAATGAGTCGATAGGTTCGTTGACCTGCATGATGATACTTGTATGAACTTTTGTTCGTGATCATGAGGGTTTGCCATTTGTTGGAAGTGATCAGTGATTGCATGTAGGAGCTGTGAGTTCTGGGAGTATGACGATAGATGTATAATAAATCTTGCTGTCTTTTACAGTGTGGTCATGAGCCACTCCCACCCCAGATAGGGAGAAATATCTTTGGACGCTCGCAGATGCAGTTACCTGGACTATTTGCTTACAGTAAGTACAGTGTAGTATAGACAGGGGTTCAGTAGTTTCAAAATTAGATTAGGACATTTTGACGTAATGGCAATTGGCATCATGGGACATTTCTTATTACTGTAAAAGGATTAATTATTCACTGGGTTTTAATTTCGCTTATTTCGCTGACTGGAAAATGCGCTAAATTAAAACCCATTGAATATGTAAAATTTAGCATAGAATACATTATCTAAATGATAAAACCGTGAATTTAAAACCCACTGAATATGCCTGAAATGTTAAATCAGTGAAATTTAAACCCCGTGAAAATTAGTCATTTTACAGTATTTTGGGTGTAAATCTGTAAATTTAACTAAAAACACTTAGGCCCACTGTCTGAAATTAAGACATTTTGAAAAAGTAACAGCGAATTGCTGATGTCTGTAAAGCATCTGAATCACTGAGTGTTAAATATTCTTTATTCAATGCTATTCTTTTGAGAAACAAAATAGATGTCAGTTCGTTATATTCTATTTTCTAAACTGGCTAGTACTCGTAGGAGTTGTTATTCACTTGCATGTGTGTGAAGGGTGACACATAATTAAACCATATCGCAATTCTAAATCATAGAGAGTTGTGGTATAGATTTTACCGAATCATACCATGTTCGAACACAGCTCCAACAATCTCAATGCTGTTTTTTAGTCATAAACATTAACCAATTAAATATTATTTTTCCAATGTCGAAAATAAAAATTTAAATGAAATTAAAAATTCAATGTCAAATTGTTCAACATGATTTTCTATCATTGCTGGTTCATTTGAGTTAGTAAAACATCCCAAATGTTCTTGTATAAATTAGTCTGTTGCATACCTGACTAATGTCAGATTTGAAAAATAAATTGGAGAAATGCTGATTCCAACTTTTGATTAAAATCAAAAAACAATTGCAGGCTTTACGTAAGGCCAAAGAAATTAAATGTCAAAAAGTTCAACTTGCTTTCCATTATGGCTGACTTGTTTGACCTACCTTATTCACAGGACTGCAGTACATGTGCTGTGATCATAACTGAAATACTGCATTTTGGGTATTTCTGTATTGATTGAGGTAACACACAAGGCTGCCACAATTTCATTATAAATTACTATTTTGGCTATTTTAATAATACAACTAAAAGTAATACAGTGCATAAGCCGTTTGTAAAAAGAGAAAAATGTACAAACTATAAATAAAATATGCAAATTGTTATGCAAATTACCCACCAATATAACAAAAACCACAACACAATAGTTTGAAAATAGGGTAGGCATTTTTGTCTTTTCCTGAGTGTGGGCGTAATTAATTTAGCAACTCTAGTAAGAATTTTTTTGTCCCCACATACCCTAAGGGGGGGGGGGGTGCTCAGAGATTGATTGGCTAGTGCATAACCATTATTTTTGCGCTGATCACCTCTTTTTTTTTTTGAAAAAGTCCATCTAGTCACCAATATGGTTGTACTCATGATATAGTGCAATGGTTCTATCAACTCGGTGGCTATTTGGTTTCACTTTGTAAATTGGATAAAAGTAAAGCAGGTGTGGTGTGTCCTGCTCATTCCTGCCACTGTATTTCACACTCCAGGGTATTTTTATTTACTATTTAGCAAAATCGCTTGAAACAAATATTCATTGGAAATGCTAAACTATGGGGCACCAAACTACCAGTAACATTCACAATTGACAGTATTCTACTGCATAGAGGTTAATAAATTTAGAATATCTAGCTGCTTATTGTCATAAAACATACCTCAAAAATGCAACACCCTTCCTTTTAGTGTGTCTATCTGCGACTGGCTCTTTCTCGCACTACCTGTATATTTAAATTAAAATCAAACTTCTTATTGAATGTACATTTTTTTACCGAAATATAGTTATTGACAAATAATATCTTTGATAATATTATATAGATTGCCTGAAACCTTAACTTGTCACCTGCTAAGTACACAGACATTCACAATTTGATTTTAATCTAATTTTTCGATGCATAATGTGATTTACTTGTTTCATTTTTATCACAGTTAAACATATCAAATCTGTGGATGGATTCCTTGGTTTGTATCGAGGCTTCTTTCCCAGGCTGTGCAGTGGACTCACTGGTAGTCTTGTGTCCTCACATGTTCAGGAAGTAAGTAATTCACCGCCAGATTACCGAAAAGCAATGTGTGAAACTAAAGTGAGAAACAGATACTTTCTCACAGGTCAAAGTGATTTGATATTACTTTCATCAATATCAATAAGAATTTAAGGGTGCAAATCCAAAATTCTTATTTGTTCAAAAAGGCTTGCCAAAAATTCAAAAATTTATCTTCTTGTCAATTAAGAAAGAAACTTTGGATTCTCAACTTTGAGTAGTGAAGAAATTCTCACTGGTATCGACAAGAGTAATATTAAGTCTTGCAGAACAGCAAGAGTTCCTCTCTTTAGACACACAATTTTTACAAATAGTGTTTAATCTCAATTGCATTTCTGAAATTTTTATTATAGTGTTCCATAGTTGTCCATTTTTTAAGAACATTATTTTGGGTCAAAAATTGTAATTGCTTATGATATTTGGTATGTTTCGTCTCTGGAAAAATCACAAGGTTATATTGCATGCAATCAAGCAGTACGGAAATGCATCGACCTCCACTACATAATAACCTCATAATATTTGTTTTTATTTGTAGCAACTTAGTGATCCAAATGAGGATGATTCCACTAAGAAGAATAAATTTAAAAATAAATCACTGCAAGCAATGATGGAACAGGTATGTCATTTGTTTGTCGCCCTGGGTGTGGAAGGGTCCTATTTTTTGCTGAGCAGTCTTTTAGCATATTTTTTTCATCACTATTTCAATCAAATATAGACTAAATACGTGAAAGAGATTGCAAGATATTAAAAATATTGCCATCATTATTCTAATATAGAAGTCAAATGAGAATGAAAGACCTTCATTTGGTTCTAATGTACATTTATGACGAACATATCACACAAGTGATTTATCATTGTTGTAGTACGATCTTTGAGAATTGATTTCAATGGAGTAACTAAGAAACAAAAGCAAATGAAAGGAGTTCTGTTGCCATGGACACACTGCTGTCAAGTAATCATATATACTACACAAGTGTGAAAGGCATATGATTCTTTGATCTGTCTTCCTTGTACAGTCTGCCAAAGACACTGCTGCTCGTTTTGCAGCGATACTTGCCAGCCAACCATTTCATGTAATCACAGTCCGGTGTATGGTACAGTTTGTTGGTAGAGAAACTAAATACAAGTAAGTCACCTGATTATCATTCATGTGACAATTATGTGTCACTCGAGTAATGGTAACTAATCAACATACTAGTACTGTAGAATACTTTATTTTCGCTTGGAATTAATTTTCACTATTTTCGCTGAAGGGATGATTCAGTGAAAATAAAATCCAGCGAATATACCTTTTTCCCTATACTTTACATTCAACTTGTCAAAAATCAGCGAAAATAAATTCTATACAAAACACCTGAAAAGTCCTTTCAGTGAAAATTAATTCCAGCTAAAATAAAGTATTTACAGTAATTTAATTTATACTCATACAGTAGCCATTTTCAATCAGCAACATCATCATCTTTACATTCTGAATTGCGGGCACAAACATTCGAAATAGTCAATAGAACTGAGTACATACAACCAAAATGAATATTGAGTCAATTCGGCAGTTTAAGCTCACTTTCATTATTATAGAAATAGTTAGAAAATAAACTCCATACAAAACATCTAAAATGTGTTTTCAGTGAAAATTAATTCCAGCTAAAATAAAGTATTTTACAGTAGTTTCTTCATTAGAAAAGTTATGCAGTGTTGGTGTACCATTAAAACATACATTTAAATTTCTTTTTACCATAATTCACAAAATTCAAATAAAATGTATATGGTCACTGGACTACTTTTAACACAAAAATACATGTAGTAATTTATAGGCCAGTTCTTGTTGGTTTTTCTGGTGAAAAAGTCTCACCATATCTCAATCTTTTTTTCAGTTACATTTGGTGAAAAGATAGGTACATGTAGTTATGAATTATTAGACAATTCTGACAAATGATGCTTCAACATTTATTTACATGGAGATTGTTCCAAAATGTAAATTTTATCTACTGTTTGACTGATGCACACAAGGGAGATAATAAATTTGGTGTGTTTGTCAATCTGTCTGGTTACATAGGTACCTTGGAACAATGCGCAGACATGTTTAGTTTTGGGGGTCATGTTGATGCATATTAAGTGGTTAATTTACATATTAATTAACTCTTTCAGCCTGTGTAAGCAAAATCTCACAAACTTTTCAGCAAATTTTGACCGAATTTGATACTTGGGTACCTTGTCTGTGGTTGCATAGGTACCCTTGGAACAATGCGCAGACATGTTTAGTTTTGGGGGTCATGTTGATGCATATTAAGTGGTTAATTTACATATTAATTAACTCTTTCAGCCTGTGTAAGCAAAATCTCACAAACTTTTCAGCAAATTTTGACCGAATTTGATACTTGGGTACCTTGTCTGTGGTTGCATAAGGTACCCTTGGAACAATGCGCAGACATGTTTAGTTTTGTGGGTCATGTTGATGCAGATTAAGTGGTTAATTTACATATTAATTAAGTCTTTCAGCCTGTGTAAGCAAAATATCACAAACTTTTCAGCAGATTTTGATTAAACTTGATACTTGAGTACTTTATTAGTTGTTACATAGGTAGCTTGGAATAATGCGCAGACATGATTAGTTTTGGGGGTCATGTTGATGCATATTAAGTAGTTAATTTACATATTAATTATCTCCTTATCAGCCTGTGTAAGCAAAATCTCACAAACTTTTCAGCAGATTTGATCGAATTTGATACTTAAGTACCTTTGAATGGCTTAAAGCTGTAGTGAAACCAGTATGTGTTTGCTCAAGTATTGATCAAGGGGAAATCTTGCCCAGATTAAACAACTTTAAGAAATTTACATCATGTCCTGAATCACTCAGCTATCCCTCTTAATTAGGTTTGCCTTGCAAATAATATTTTATCTTTCTTATTACGGACAACTGAGAGCCATTTAATGAATTTTAACAAAATTTGTTATGCATATATCTTGTGATTCATTGATTAGTTTGGTTATAATTCATCATGTGTATATTTTGATAGCTAGAACTATAGAAATTAAGACTTCTGTTGACGTAATCCACTCTGGGTATGTAAATGTGAACTTTGTTCAAATTTGGAAAGATCTTTGCTTGCATAATAATATTATTTAATGTTGTGCTACGAGTTTCAAATGAAAATGTTCATGTACTGGTTTCAACATCAATTTACTTTTGTCCTCAATGTCTGCTGGTTGATGATTCTAACCTAACGCCATTTCCGAGATATTTTTTTATAAAACAACTATGATTGCATATGTTTTGTAATTCATTCACGCAAGAACTTTCAAGAGTTTAACTTTGATTGCATTTTTTCAGACAGTTTTCTCTGTACTTTGTGAAAATCATTAACTTGTACCTATTCTATTGTACCTATTGTTATTTTTTCTGTTTAGTGTTCTACATCTCTGCAGATTGACCACTTTGTATTCATTCTCTGTATTTGTGTTGTTTGTTGCAGTTCCTTATTTGGGTCTATTAGAGAAATATACAATGAGGAGGGAATTCTGGGATTTTTTGCGTAAGTACAATGTACGTTATATCAAATTACCAGTGATGTTGTATCCTTGCACAATTAATGAGAATGGAAAATTCCCCCTGAAACTTCACTGTAATTTTTGCAAGGTTTTCAAACCTACCATTTCTGTTTGAAACTTGTATGTTCAAACACCTTGAGTAATTGGTTTTTAACTGAATTTGGAAAAAACAAGCACTTTTTTGATTGGGGTTGTACCCAGACTTTTCTTTTAAATTTCATGAACTTCAATCATATGTACATGTACATTGTAACCCATTTCCTTCAGTTTTTAATTTTGACAGTAAAAAAAACATGCACTTGTATTTAATTCTCTGTGTTATCTGTGAAAGGAATAAAAAACATAGATTCTGAGTACACGAAGAAATGTATACATGTACATTCAAACTGTATGATTTTTAACTGTTTTAGAGGGTTTTATGGGAGTGTGTGAGTTTGAACCCTGAATTTGAATAACCTAAATGTTTGAATAACCAAACAAAAAGCATTTCCCCCCTGAGAGGTTCGGATAATTGACGGTTTACTGTATTTTCACTTATTTTCAATTCAAAATGCCCACTAGTGTAGGGTTGAACCTCTTCTATTATTTAAACAAATTATTAGCAAGTGATGTGTTAACTAATTTAGAAGCTTATTTTTTTTATATATATTATACAATGTAGATGCAACTAAACATTTCTTTCTCTGCACTGACCAGATTAATAAAACCATAAAATTCGAATGTGTATATTTTGTGCTGTATATCATATTGTAATATTTGCTTGTATTTTGTTATTTCAGAGGTCTAATACCTAGATTGTTGGGTGAAGTTGCTTCACTGTGGTTGGCTAATACATTAATGTATATAATTAATGCTTACATTTTGGATGAGGAGGTAAGAGATATTCTCTTGATTGAGCATAAAAACACTTTATCACATGTATCATGCACTTTCGGTGTAATAACACCCGTGTGATATTTTTGGTATTACACACTTTGAGTCTGTGATGTGATTGGCCAATACAGCTAATTTCACCTTTGACCTAATCAGCAAAGTTAGTACTGAATTATGCAACACTTATGATGAGGCAGATTTTAATGACAAATTATGTAGAAATTATTACATATTATACTTATTAGATTTT